GTGATACAAAGGTGTTCAAGCTGTTTTTAGTCTCTCAGGACTGAGAGGTGACTTGATTAGTATAAGTACCTTTATGGGGAGAAATGCAGGGCACTAAAAGGCCGTGTGCCTCCCCTCCCCTCCCCCCTACAAAGAAAGGCATATTGAGAACCTGTGGCTGGTCATGTTAAACTAGACAAATTCAAATTGAAAATACTTCACAGTGAGTTACTAACCACTGGAACAAATTATCATGGGAAGTAGTGGATTCTCCATCTCTCACTGTAGTCAAATCCAGACTGGATTCCTTTCTGTAAGATATGCTTTAAGTCAAACAAGTTTATTGACTCAGTGCAGGAATAACTCTGAAATTCTATGACATGTTAGGTCATACTAGATCTAATGACAATATACCCAAGAAATGTAGTGTTGAAGTGCATTCAAATATAGACCAGTTCCTGATCTGTCAAAGGCTCTGTGCATAAAGTTAAACATGTGCCTAAATTCTTGGCCTCAAACACATTTTAATACTGATCTTGGAAGAGGTGATGTACATTCTAATAGTTCATTCTGCAACTCTTTTTTTTTTTTTTTTTTTTTGCAGACTTGAGGTGGAATATCACCTGTAGAGCAACTTGTCTTTCCATGGAATAAAGGACAAAGATATTTACCACACTGGATGTGTTTATAAATAAAAGCTTAAATCTGAATATTTGGGATGATGTCTTCTGTCAAACTATCAAATGCTTCTGAGCACTCAGGCTTATGCTGTAGCTTACTGTGTAACAGCAATTTTTTACATCAAGCTTAAACAGACGAGGCCCTTTTTAGCAGAGGAAAAATGTAGTGATAGCATGTTATCTCTTAGCACTAGCAAAAATAAACTGTTCTCGGTGCTGAATTGAGTGGTTAAGAATCTAATCACTTGTTTTTCAAGAATCTGTATCTTTTATACCATTAAAGTAATTGTTTTAGAAGCTCCCTTGCAGAGTGTGACTTTAGTTTCTCTCTTCAGGGACATGTGAGTTGAAGCAAACTAAGTGGTTGCAAGGTTGGAGCCCTCATAAAAGTGTGATTTAGAAATGAGGAGTCTGGGAGAGCTGGCACTAGTGTCAGGGTCTAGGCAGTTGCACTGTGCTGGTCTCAACTCTCAGGAGGGAGCTTTCGAGAATACCTAGAAACAGTGCGTGGACTCTGTTCAGACTTGGAGTATAAAGGCATGTGGGTCCAGTAGGTGGAACCTAAACACAGCAGCCTTGTGGCTGTCTAGAAGCTGGGAGAGCTTGACCAGGGTTGTGACTTCCTAGTCTAGGGAAGATGAGCTTTTGCCACTAATTCAGAACTCCTCTACCTCAGTATATGATTAGGTCTGTAGTTCAACTGACCTGGGCCGTTCTGCACTCTAAAGCCTCCACAACTTTGTATTTAAATTCTGATTTAGATGAGCCAGTAAATAACTAGTCTTAAACAAGTATGACTGCCTTCCTGAAGGATTTGGTTAAATGGTTGCTTTCAGATTTGGTAAGATGTCACCACAATAGCTGTCAAGTTTCATAAACTGTCATTAGGGGATGTTTTGAAGACAGTGGATCTGCTGCACCAAAACTTGTTTAATGGGATGTGGTAACAGGTGTGTGGATAGGAATTGCTCACTGGTTAAGTGTGGGGCGGGGGAGAGAAGGGGGAGAATGGTCATTAGGACTCATCAAGGCAAGGAGGTGTGGCTTACTTCCTCCTGAGGCTATCTTTGCTGCCAACATCCAAATCTCAGAGCACCTCCTCAGCCATTCCCTCCTCCCATTCTTCCATTTGCACAGTGTTTAGCTCTGAGAGGAAGGTATGCTACTGCTGAATGGGTGGGAAGGTGGAAAACATCCCTAACAGCATTCCCCATGCTTGGTGTTTACACCCAGCACCAGTAATGCCCACCAGCATCATTTGTGAGGACTTGCAACTCACAGCACCTTTCACCATCTTCAGTACTTATCCCCCAGGCTTAGCCTCCCAAAAACCACCTATGGCAGCAAAGGATTTGGGTAGGTCACAGAAACAACCTGGATAGTTTGGGGGGCGGTGGGTGTTTGTTTTCAGGCTAAAAACTACTCTGCTAGACTACCTGAAACTGAAGTAAGCCATTAAGGATTATACTAGGGTTACCAACCCTCCAAAATTGTCCTGAAGTCACCACAAATTAGATTGTCATGGGGTGAAACCTCCAGGAATATATCAGATCAAAACTGGCAACCCTAGATTATATGGATATCATGTCCACTAACTTTGTGTGCAATTTTTTGAGTGGCCAGTTGAAGATATTAAGGCCTGACTTTAAGAAGTGCTGAGCATCCACAGCTCCCATGGACATTAATGGAGTTGTGGCTGGTCAACGCTCCTGATAATCACGTCATAGGTCTGTTTACACCCCCAAAATTAATGGAAAATTGGAGTGAAAGCTTGACCCTATAAAAATCAAAGACAAAACTCACTGATTTTGAATGGAGTCATACTGTCCTCCTTGAAAATGGGGTTAAAATAACTTTTCTGGATCAGTGTTCACCACAGAGGTTAACGGGAATGCTGCCTAATAAAAAATGAGTTGTTAAAGGGGTAGGGAATAATCTTGAAAATATGCCATTATATAACTAAATCCTATGCTAAATCCGAACTATATCCTAAACCCTTATTTGAAACACTGTGTACAATTTTTGTCACCCATCTAAAAAGAATATAGTAGAAAAAAATGAAAATGATTTTATGCATGAAAAGACTAGTATGAGGAATGCTTAAACTATGAGGATTATTTGGCTTTACTAAGCAGATAAATAAGAAGGGATATGATAGCAATATATACAATCTTAGACCAATAAGGGAGATTTTGAGAGGTCATCTGTTCCATTACCCGCCATGCTGAGGTAGAGGACCAAGTACACCTAGACTATCCCTTACAGTTTGTATTTAACCTCCCATGATGGGGATTCCACAACTTACCTTGGGAAGCCTATTCCAGAGCTTAACTACACTAATAGAAAGAGTTTCCTAATGTCTAACCTAGATCTCACTTGCTGCAGAGTAAGCCCATTACTTCTGTTGACATGGAGAACAATTGATCACAATCGTCTATAACAGCTCTTACATATTCGAAGACTTATCAGGTCCCCTTTCTTGTCTCAAGATTAAACCTGCCCAGTTTTATAGTCTTTTCTCATAGATCTGATTTTCTAAACCTTTTATCACTCTCCTCTTGGCTCTCTTCTATTTGTTCACATCTTTCTTAAAGATATACAGTCATTAATGTTATAAGATCAATAAGACATGTTCCTATGAAATTCAATGGCATTAAATATGAACAAATTTGAAATGCTTTTTTATTTTTTAACAAAAATAAAACATACCCCATGTAGAACTCATTGCTACCAGATATTACTGAAACAAAAGTCTCAGTAAAGGATTAAGCATTTTATATGGATAATAGGTACTATACATAGTCAGTGCTTAATTTGTAATGAAAGATGTGCCAGGGCTCAAGCACTTTTTTTACATTCATAACTGATGCAGCAAGCCCAGAGGTGCCAGGGCTATGAACTGCCAAGCCTAGAGGTCCCAAGGCTCAGCACTGACAAATTAAGCTCTGTATATAGTCACAATTTACACTAGCTAAAATAAACATTTACAAGGGATATACATCCTGATGTAGAGATAAGAACAGCACTGTGGCTAAGAAGAAACTTCCATCCTAAGATGATTATTCCATAGTTGTCCATTATGGAAGTTTTTACCCTTGTTCTGAAGCAGAGTTGGTTGGGAATTTTTCATGAGAATGATTTTCCAGTTGAGAATGCAGTTACTGTAAAATCAAAATTTTCTGTGGGAAAACAGATGTTGCCAAAAATAAAAAATTGAAATGAAACACAGTAAAACCCACCTTCAAGATGACCTCCACATTTCACAATCAAAAGTGTTCAGAAGTTGTGTTGCAGAAAAATGTCAAAATCTCAGCATTTGGTCCTGATTTGGAATGAAAACAAATGCTGAAGTGTTAGAATTTCCCATGGGTGGAACCTCTGAATTTCACTCATTTTTACTCTGAAGCATCTGGTATTGCGTACTGTTGGAGATAGGCCACTGGACTAGATGGACTACTGTTCTGAGCCAGTGTGGTAATTCCTATGTAATTAATATGAAAAATGTGAGTACACAGTGAACTTGGATTGAGATTGTCCAAATTTCTTTTCTTGGGATTTAGATTTCTTACACTTACTGACAGTACTGAGAGGTAGGATGTTGCCCTAAATTATATTTTGGACATTAAATACTTTCAATGTTAATTTTTTTCATAATGAGTGATATTTTCCAACAGAAATATTGAAGTATTCTGCATTCCTTACTTTGGTCTTCGCTAGGGTGTCTGTTTTTATTTGCAAAAAGAAAAGGAGTACTAGTGGCACCTTAGAGACTAACCAATTTATTTGAGCATGAGCTTTTGTGAGCTACAGCTCACTTCATCGAATGCATATTGTGGAAAAGGCAGAAGACATTATATACACAGAGACCATGAAACAATACCTCCTCCCACCCCACTCTCCTGCTGGTAATAGCTTATCTAAAGTGATCATCAAGTTGGGCCATTTCCAGCACAAATCCAGGTTTTCTCACCTGGTCGCTTTGGATGAGCTATTACCAGCAGGAGAGTGAGTTTGTGTGTGTGGTTTTTGGAGGGGCGTGGGGAGGGTGAGAACACCTGGATCTGTGCTGGAAATGGCCCACCTTGATTATCATACACATTTTAAAGAGAGTGGTCACTTTGGATGGGCTATTACCAGTAGGAGAGTGAGTTTGTGGGGGGGGACACACACGGACGGACGGAGGGTGAGAAAACCTGGATTTGTGCTGGAAATGGCCCAACTTGATGATCACTTTAGATAAGCTATTACCAGCAGGAGAGTGGGGTGGGAGGAGGTATTGTTTCATGGTCTCTGTGTATATAATGTCTTCTGCCATTTCCACAGTATGCATCCAATGAAGTGAGCTGTAGCTCACGAAAGCTCATGCTCAAATAAATTGGTTAGTCTCTAAGGTGCCACAAGTACTCCTTTTCTTTTTGCGAATACAGACTAACACGGCTGTTACTCTGAAACCTGTTTTTATTTGGTTTTGAGAATGATATAACGATGTAGAGGTAACGTGAAACAGGTCTGATGTGACATTTTATAAACAAACTGGGCACAAGTGAGAAATGTGAAAGCTGAGATGTGGTTGTTATGACAACCAAATTAGAAGCAGTTCTTATTGGACATAAGTGAAGTGATAACATGAAAGTTATTTTCATTCTTTAAAGAAAAAGGTCATAGTTGTACAGCGTAGCATTTTACTCTGGCTGTTTTTTCAAAATCCCACTATTAATAAGAGTAATGCCATTGGATATCCTACATACATTCAGCTAGAATTGTTAAGAAAAGATTGAAAGAACACGAATACCAGGACAGTGTTTTCTGTATATAAGGAAGGCAAATATTATTCTTATTTTAAGGATAAAGAAATGAAGGTTCAGACAGGCCAAATGATTCACCCAGTTTCATTCAGGACATCTGTAAAAGAGCTAAGAAGAACTCAGAAGCCCTGTCCATCCTCCCTTGGCTGCAGTATTTTAAACAATGGTAAGAAATGTTTGTAATCGTAATTACATATCTGAAAACTTTCGGGCTCTGAAAATTACATTACATTGTCATCATCAAAAAAATTGAAATCAGACAGACAGGGGGATGGAACACCACATCTGTATATAGCCATTTGATGCATCATAATTAGGTTTCCAAAAGATTATACTTAATGGAAGAAGGTGTAAAGACAAGCTGGGTGAGCACTACATTGCTTCAGTGAGTGATTTTATAAAAGTAGGAAAATGCATACACAACCCAAAATCAGTTCAGACTCTAAAAAGACTTGGAATGGTCTCGAGTCTCAGAAACTATATATTAGCCCAGGGGCATTACAAGCATTAATTTTTCTACAGTGACAATGAGACCCACTATGCAGACAGGGTACATGCCACTCAGCTTTATTATTACAGCAAAAACAAAAAACCTGAAGGGTGAGATGCTACAGCTTGGTCATTCCCTATTATAGCAGTAGGAAATGTTAGGGGAAAATTTGTTAATAGCCCTCTCCTGCAATCTGTGAATCCCTGCTTCTGACAGATTTTCTAACCAGCTTATGTTTCCTCTTATTGCAGCCCAGAAGATGGACATTAGCAGCTGTCTGGAACAATACAGCATTGCATTTAAATAAATTTAAAATAATAGTATTTGATGGACTTGATAAGAATTGCTGTTCCATTTTCTATTTAAACATTCCATGAGTAGTTAAGTACTTTCCTTACTTACTTACTTTTTTCATTAGTTATGTAGAGAGCATGGAAGAACAAACAGCACTTTGAAAAATGTCACAGTATATAAATAGCACTTCTGAGAACATTAGTAAAGTTCTACTGAACTGCAAAACCAACAAGTTAGTGGTGAACTGTGAAGATGCAGGCAAGAGAAGAACATGTGAAAATCAAGGCAAAAGGGCGATCAAATTACTTCTGTAAAGAACTGCAATGTTGCAGTTCATGAAATTTTACCATGACTTTATTGCGAGGCTGAATATTTTTCGTAAAACCCCAGCTCCTGTCATTAAATGATTTTGTGAGAATCTCAGTTTTCTCTTTTTCATTTTAGCCCACTTGGTTGTGAAGAAAAGCTTGAAAGTGTGATCTGAGTGAGTCTCAGAAAATTAAAAAGAACTCCCAAGTTTTTTTTTTTAAAGTATGATTTTTCAAGCCCATAATCTCATGATTTTTTTGAGGCTTTAATGATTTCTGAATGCTTGAGGTTGGCATATTGGAACTGTAAACCTCATAAGAAATAGCACTAGTCTCACTTCATCTCTCTGGACCCAATGAATTTCTTTGATGACAAAAGGAAGTATCTCATCAGAAGTGAAGGAAAAACATGGCAGCCACGGCCCAGCTGTATTATTCACCATTGATATTTGATAAATTGAGGATTGTGTTTAACTAAAACCTCCAGACTTTGCATGTAAATAGTTTTCATTGAGTAGTAGGCTCTACGTATGTGTGGAAAGTAAATATAAAGTTATTAAAATGAATGAGAAATCACTACTGAGTATGCTGAGAGGGGCATCTGCTGAGGTTTACAGCAGAACGTAAAGAAGATCTGCCCCCTATGAGATCTCTCAATGCAAAGCTTTCCTGACAGGCCCAAGAGCTGCCACTAGGACAGCTTACAGGAAGAGAATTTGAAGAGTCTCAGGAAGTACATCACCACAGTGCTCCAAAACAATGCAAATTATGTATCTTTCCTGCTGTTGAAAATGCACCTTCTAATCATCAGACCCCTTTAAAGTGTTTCATGTTGAACATCCAAAAACTGAGGTATACAAAGCTACTAGTCACTTTTTAAAATCTTGGCCTGTATAGTTAAAAACATATATTGAGCCCTGTCTCTTATCCCTGAACACTTTATAGAAATGGCAATGTATTGCCTGAAACTCAAAGCTCCTTCCCTTCAAGCAATAATTATCCTGTGAATCTTCAGCACTCCACTTGTACTGTGAGGGTTGATAGTCCCCAGCCCTCTGTGTGACAGTCCTATTTCACTCCTGGTACTTTGCAGCCTTCCATTCTTGCAGAATTCAGAACAGTAGAGTGCATGTTACACCTGAGAATACAGCAAAACATCTGGTTTCATAGTGTTTCTATTATTCTCCTAGAGCAGCACAAATTTCCTGTCTTTTTTTCTCCATAGTGTGTTTCACTGTCTTTCTATTACACTGTGTTCCTTCTCTGTGGAAACAACAGACAGTGTAAAACAGTCTAGAAGACTTTTAGGACAAAGTTACAATGGGTTCTTATGCTATAAAGCAAGTATAGCTTTAAACTATAGTGGCAGTGATGTTATCAGTAAGGTCACATAACAGTTTCCATCCTAAACCTGTTTTAAGCCACTCAGAACTTGTGAAATTTACTTTTCATGCTAAAAAATTTCAAGCTTGGAATTTGCCCTAAAATGAATTATTGAGAAAAATTTGAACAAAAACCAATCATTTGCATATGAGCATAATTTCAATACATATTTCCTATTAAAAAAGTATTTACAGTAATTTTTGGACAGATCTACTGTCAAAACAGCTAGGGATAGAAAGTTAAAATTGAAAATTAAAATATATCAGTGTATCTCTTTGAAGTGACTTTGATTTAATTTTTAAAATTTTGAATATACATTTATATAAAATTTGAAAAATTTGAAACAGAAACAAATATTTTGATTTTATCAAAGCAAAACATTTCAATAGAGAAGGATCTCTTATTTTATTTCAGAAAATTTCAGGATTTTCAGGTTTTGTTTAAAACTAGAGTAAAAACAAGTGTCTCAAAATCTGCCTTGAAATGGAATATTTGTTCTCCACTGAGCTTTATTTGGATGTATCATTTCCTGTGTATTTTTCTGTACTCTGTATTATGGCATACCCAGGGTACTAGCAAGAAGTTATAACTGTATCTAAGTTTGTAGAATTGTATTATATTTTATTGAGGAAATAGTATGTGTTCATTTAATTTAGACAACATAATGAATATGCACAAAGTGACAGACCTAAAAATTGTATTAAAAACCTCAATGATGGCATGTCCATGCGTGCTTAACTTTGAAATTTAACATTCTTCTAACTTAGTTCTTTATTTGGAATAAATGATGGTTTACATAGCATCACTGTGGTAAATGTATATCTGAATAAAGATACTGTGTAGTTCTTATTTCACTTCTTTGCTAAGGTCTAAATAACTGCAATCATTCTTACATCCCAAATGCTCAACATTCAATGCTCTTGCATTGGCCTTGCTGCTGTAACAAGGCATGTGAGTAGAGGAAAATGGGAAATATGTGCTTAGAAAGTAGCAACAGAAAGCAAAGGAAGTTTGCTGCCAGCAACCAAAGAGAGGAGGAAGGAGTTCACACTTGAACCATCCCACGTGGTGCCACTTACGGATTCATATCTAACCTACATGTGAGACCAAAACATTCCTTCATCTGGTGAGACTTAAAGGGTGCATCGACACTTCAAAAAAACACCCTGTGGCAGCAAGTCTCAGAGACGGGGTCAACTGATTCAGGCTCACTCTTTGGGACTAAAAATAAAAGTGTAGACATTCCTGCTTGGGCTAGAGCCTGGGCTCTGAAACCAGGATTGGGGAAGGGGAAGGTCAGATAACAGGAACCAGTTTAGATTCTCTTTAGTGCACAGCTAGTCATTTAGTTGCTCTCTCGGTAATGTGTAGTAAAAATGTATTATGGTCTGAGACTTCTGTAAGTCATCTTTATGGCACTAGAACATCATCTGTCAAAAAGAAATGACCTTTTCTAAGAACAAAATTTCCCTGCTTATGTCTTTCCAAATGTTGATTAAGTTATGTGAGAACAACAGGGAAAACAAGATTTGTCATACTGAAAAACTGATGAATATGTACTCTAAGACAACGTCACATTCTCTAATGAATAAACAATTACAGCTGTAATTGTTTGTACATTCCTGCAAATGCCAACAAAATCAAATATCTGTCATGCCAGATGACGAAGCACAACTCATTGAATGTACTTAGCACTCCACTCATCTTGAAAAGGTCACTCAGGCTTTAACAAGCTGTACGTGGTTAGCCAGCTTCTAGGAAATGAGCATGTACCTTCCAAAGCATGCAGTTTGTATCAGCAATAAAGGAGCTACCGTATTTGGCTCACCTTCAAGTGACATATTTGGCTTAAATAACAAATTATAACTGGTGCGATCTGCCTAATGTTTCTGCTGTATGCATGGATACATTCAAACCTGTCCTATTATTTTTTATAATTTCTGTAGAAGACGCGCCAGAGTCCACAGTTAGAATCAGGCCTCAGCTTGCCTGGCTCAATACAAACACACAGGAAGACAGGGTCCTAATGAACTAATAGACTAAGAGGACAAACATATAATTCTATATTCAATATCAGTAAACACAATCTATTCTTTTATGGCTCAGTTGTGACTTTTAGCCGTGGGCCACTAAGGCTGATCTGTGTACCATACCATGCCATAGATTAGTATATCAGACTTCCCCAGGCCTGCACTGGAACCTAGTGGGACTCGATAATGGTAGAGTCTTGCCTCCTCCCTATCCCCTTTGGTGTGATTTACTCCCACAGGAGTCCCAGGAAGGCACAGCCAACATGTAGTTGTGTGCAGTTGTCTCCCTTCTACCCTTGTGCATCTATAATGGGAAACAGATTTTTTGTAAAAAACATTGTTGATAGCCCTTGACACTGCCCTGTGTTCTATCAGTGATGTCAGTAAGAGAGCTGTTAATGCTAATCTAGTGCAAAAGCAGGGTGTGGGTGGTGGTACAATTAATCTAATCTGTACATAAGAAAAGTAGATATTACCAAATGCCAATAGTGCATGCTAGCCTAATAACCTGGTTCTGTTTCTACCTGAATAAAGGAAGCTAATTCTCAAAGATACCATTATATAAGAGATCAGATTGGTTACAAGCCTGCCTTGGCAAGCTAGAGTTACAATCGATTCACAAAAAGAAAAGGAGTACTTGTGGCACCTTAGAGACTAACAATGTTAGTTTCTAAGGTGCCACAAGTACTCCTTTTCTTTTTGCGGATACAAACTAACACAGCTGCTACTCTGAAACTGATGCACAAATTACATCAGCCTTTAGACAGATGGGAGCTGGCCAATTCTACTACCCCGTTCTCTGCTCCCCTCCCAAGTGCATGATTCCCAAGGTAGTTCAGGGAGCTGGTCCAGAAGCTTCAGGCTAATAGGGCAATATTCTAACAAGGCACATGCCTCATATAAGATAGATTTGAAGTAATTTAGAAGTGAAAACACTTATAAAAATGCCATGGTCTCCCATCCCTATTTTTTGCAGTCTATCGAGGTTGTTTTCTGGTACACAGCAGGAGAGTCTGAAGCCCAAAGGAGGGTAATACTACTTTGCATTTAGAGAACTATTTTCATGCTAAAGGATTACAAATCACTTTACGAATTGTGGGTTTGATTCACTTCTGCTGGTGTAGGCAAATGCAAATTACAACTCTCTGTGCCACCAAAGGCTGCAGAACCCCTGGGGAAGGACAGGCAGTTTTGCACTGTTGGCTACCCCCCCGGCGATTTTATCAAGGAAATGGGCTTGAAATTGCAGCTGGTGCTTCATTGAAGCCCCACTAGCAGAGGTTAGCCAGGGACTGGGCTGAATCCGTGCTTCCTCCGCTAGTCTGTCCACAGTCCGTTGATGACAACTCCACCCACTTTTGGGCCTGGGCTAGCTAAATATACGCCTCCTGGTGGAGTGGAGGGTTCAAGTAATTTGTACCCCAGGACCATTTTCAACATGATAAAGGGCAGGCATGTAAATTTTGTACCTGAGTTGCTAAATTTTCTTGACTGTTTTACAAGGCTGATATACTGGAACAGGGGAGGAAGGAAGCCATGCGGTTATGGCCCTATAAAGGAATTCTGGGTTCAGTCCTGGGTCTGCCACAAATTTCTTTTGTGACCTTTGGTAAATCATCCAGGGTCAGATTATCATCAGGCCTAAATATAGTTACACCAACTGAGGATCCTTCCTATGACTCAGTTCCCCATCTCTAAAATGAGTATAATACTTACCTGTTTCATAGGGATACTTTGAGGATATATTCATTAATGTTTTTGAGGTACTCAGATACTTCAGTAATGAGAATCATAAGTAAAGTCATTAGAGTAATTATCCTAACATATATTTTCACAACTTGTTTTGTATACAACATGAAACAGAATGAGATGTGGTGGTATAAAACAGCCAGAAGCTCAGTTCTGAAGTCCTTGCACAAGCATAGCTTAGATCAAAGTTTCTGAGAATTGTGTGTGTGTTTGCAAGGTCTATATTAGTTGGAAAGATAGTCCTTGTTTGTGAAGGTGTAACCTATCCATCACTTACATAGTGTGGCTCTGTCCCTCTCTAGTTGCTGGATCATATATATCTGTATGAATCAGCTACTGTCCTTGAGCTAACGCAAATGAGTCTTTTAGTTCTGGCAGTGAGTAGAGACTTATTGTTTTAGAACCAGAGATCCTAGTTTCAGCCTCCACTGCCAACAATCCACCCACACTGGCATATTATGAGTGAGTGCAGCCAGCTGAGGGTGGCAGAGATCTACACTAGGTAAGTGTGGGTTACACAAGCCAAGGGAATCATACACAGTAATCCACCAGCACAAGTTGTCCTGATCTTTTTAACTATAATTTTAGACCAGATTTTCCAAGATGTGCAATTTGTGTGCCCAGATACCAAGGTTGCACTCAGACTGGACATTTTCATGTGCAGACAGCCTGTTAGGTATCAAAATAGTTATTTATGTGCACAAATACCCTAGTTATGCATTCAGTCTTGCTATTTGCATGCTATTTTAAGTGCATACTCTTCGACATTGACTTGCACAGAACTTTGAAAATCAGATCCTTTGTGTGCACTTTAACTTGAGTCTTGCCAAAAATCTGGGCAGTGGGTAATTAATCTTGATCAGGAAGATTTATTTCTGTTTGCTTTATATTGTTATTCATATAATTAAAATCAGTTTTACACCTTAGGCTATATTGTTATTTGATCTTTCTGGGCTACAATGACTACATCTAATTTACTCCAAGAAAGCTCACTCATACTGAGCAGCAACATAGTTCATTTAAGGTATAGATTCTGCCAGCCTTACTCTGACTCAGTAGTACCTTATTCCAAGTAACTCCATTGATTTCAGAGGGACTATTCACTGAGTTAATACTACTCAGACTAAGTAAGAGAGGGATATCTGGTCCTTGGTTTGTACAAAACCATACAACTTTTAATACAAGGATTGAAAAGATATTTTGACCTTCTACTCCTGAAGACATAAATGGATCACAGGAAGAAGTTATGAGATATTTTTCAGAAAACATCCACTTCTCATAAAATCTAGTCTTAAAAAACTCTACAAGCATATGTTATCCTATTCAAATATATGAAACGTCAGCTCAAAAATACAGGGACTATGTTTTCCATATCCACAGTAAAAAAAAAAATCCTGAAAATGAGGGAAAGACCCATTGCTAATAAAGAATCCTCATTTTAATCACACGTTTTCTTCATTACTTCCATATTTTAGGTGATATAAA